ATATTAAAAGAATCAAGTTCATCGTCAGAAGAAATCTTGATGCCTTCAACAGGTAACTTCTTTCCAAAATCATGTCCAACTGCAACCTTAAAGCAGTGCAACTGTTGTTTCACCGTGTGCAAAACCAACTTCAGGAATTCTTGTAGATTCCTATGCAGAAGCTCATTTGGGGGCAAGAAGAACTCTAGTATGTAAACATTGTCATCATTGCCTGGAGCACTTAAACAGATTGCAAAACAACCAGTTAAACCAGCTTCGCGAGCACAAGTTACCAAGGGGTATTCCATTATGCTCAACTGTGTTACACCTATATTTGAACACACGTCCGGGGGGACCAAGGTCATTTTCACATTGGGTACCGTTCTTCAGCTCAACAGGAATTGCCCGGCTCAAGCACTTGTGCCTGTACGAACATAGTCCACCATCTAGTCTGGTAAGACCAAAAGGCTGATCTGAAGTTGTTAGGAAAGTCTGGCCATAAATTACAATACTAGCCCAGAACTGAATAAGATAATTGCAGGATAATTTCTCTACACGTTGGAGTGCAATCTTAACTCTTTCCTTGATTGCCATGCATTTAGTAACAACATCTGCAGTTGTGGCATGCACAAATATTGTATTAGTACTTGTAGCCTAACCAGTAAAGTTACTGCCATGTAACCAGGAGATCACGGGTTCGAGCCGTGGAAACAGCCTCTTGCATAAATGCAAGGTAAGGTTGCGTACAATAGACCCTTGTGGTCCGGCCGTTCCCCGGACCCCGCGCATAGCGGGAGCTTAGTGCACCAAACTGCCCTTCTTTACTTGTAGCCTAAAGCTACATTTAGGTAGTACAAAGAATATTACTCCCAGGTTTTGTAAAAGGCTTGTAGCAACAATTTTACTGATTGGCCAAAGCAATTAAGTTACCTATATCTAATTTAAGGAATTTCCTTGAATTCAAATCCGCGAAGCAGTACTACTAATGATAATCTCAGAGCAAGTCAAAAGAATAGGTTGAGGATTGAAAGTTCAGACCTTTATATCCAGGATAAATTTTCAAGTGAATGAGAAGTTCTTCTTCTAAGGTGTGGCAAGCACAAGATTCAATGGCAACCATGATGGTGAATATCTTGTACCTAAAGTATGTAACGGAATTGCAACAATGATTGTCAAAATGGAAACAAATTGCTAGAATTTCCCAAAGAAGAAACAAAAAGAACCTAATTTTGAAGCAATGAGAGTGAAACATGCAATGCATTTTAGAAAATTCTTAGCTGATTCCCATCCCATCTATAAAGATCAACATTTTTTTTTATATTTGATAATTGTGGTACTTGATAAGTGTTACCTCCCACCAACATATGAGGTACTTGATAACAGTGTCCACCAAGGCTTGGACAAATATGAAGAAATCACCTAATATTTTTGCTTATGATAGAACAACATAACTTTAAACCACCAAAGCAAAAATTCTCTCCTCATTCATGGGCAAATAGGAAGTCCAACAATTCTTAAGGAAATGATTGTCAAAATAGGTACAAAAAATAACAGCCCGGTGCACTAAGCTCCAGCTATGCGCATGGTCCGGGAAGGGCTGGACCACAAGGGTCTATTATATGCAATCTTAACCTGAATTTTTATAAGAGTCTGTTTCCTCGGCTCGAACATGTGACCAGTGGCGGAGCCACCTTATAGGAAGGGTCGCGGAAAAATATACTATGTAGGTAGGTAAAAAAATAAATTATATGTATATATATATATTATGTATTGACTCCCCTTAATTTCCTGGTACGTTTACTTTTATATACTTAGCTGCAATTGGCAGTGTATCTCAGAAAATACTTAGCTGAATTTCATCCCATGT